GTTGAGACCACGCGAGGCGGCCAGGCGGGAGGTGCGCCGCGGGGTGCGGCCCCGTGCGGGGGAAACCCCCGGCCCGCGGCGTGGGGGGGGGGGACACGTGCTTTGTCTGTGAGGAGGGAGCGGCGTGAGGGGTCGGAACGAGTGGAGGGCGTGGGTTGAGGGCACCGCGGTGCCGGGCGGTGGCGGAGGGGACAGCGGTGTTATGGGCGACGGGGGGAGGGCATCACCGTGCGCTGAACCATTGCGGAGGGGGGGGGGGTGTTTCCCCGCGGGGGGGGAGGACTGCATGGGGCCAATCCATTGCGGGGTGGGGGCGCCATCTTGGGGTCAGGAGCGCGGTGAGGGGCGGGCGCCATCTTGGATCCGAAGTGAGGAGCGGGCGCCATCTTGAGGCCGGTGTGGGGATGGGCGCCATCTTGAGGCTGAGGGTTGGGGGTGTCCCCGTGCTCTGCTGTGGGGATGTCACGTCATGCCAACCATCCCCTGAGAACCATCCCTGTTCCCAGGTTGACCCCAAGAGGCAGCGCGGCGTCCCCTTGCGCAGAGCACAATGGAGGCTGTGTGGAGAGCACTGAGGTGAGAACGGTGCTTGGCCCTTGGGAGCCCCAATCTGGGGTCTGAAGTGCGTGTTCATCACCTGCTCTGTGGTAATCAACCCTTATGCTCTCAGGAGAGACATTATGTGTTTTGGAGTTGTCCACAGAATCACAGAATAGCTGGGGTCGGAACGGACCTCAAGGATCATGAATCTCCAGCCTCCCTGCCATAGGCAGGGGTCCAGGCCTGGTGTTTGGTGCTTTCCCACAGATCAAGCTCAGGCAGGAAACTGTTGACACAGTATTTATTCGCAGAAGTTACAAAGTTAGTAGTTTTCCAGCTCTTACCATGATTGGTTGCAGTCTTTCCTACAGTATGTTGCTGGACTTATACCTCCATTACTGCCTGTTCAGGGGAAAAGCCTTCACCTGGCTGTGCTTTCTAGTGCTGTAATGAAGGCACTGCAGTGAAGGATTCGTGGGTTTTCTTTATAAGTCGGCAACGTCCCCCAGAGTATCACAGAATCATTAAGGCTGGAAAAGTTCTTGACTATGAGAGTGGTGAGGTGCAGGAACAGCTGCTCTCAGAGGCTGTGGATGCCCCGTCCCTGAAGGTGTTCAAGGCCAGATTGCGTGAAGCCCTGAGCAGCCTGGTCTGGTATTAAATGTGGAGGTTGGTGGCCCTGCTTGTAAGCAGGGGGTTGGAGCTTTATGATTCTTGAGATCTCTTCCAAACCAAACCATTCTGTGATTCTGTGAAAAGACTGCTCCTGATTAATATTCCCTTCAAGGCCTCCTGACTCTGGGTGTTTGTTGGTTAAGGATAGCAAGTATTTGTTCTTCCAACACCTAATGCAATGGAACTAGGTGATCTTGGAGGTGACTTCCAACCCAAGCCATTTTGTGATGCCATCCAGAAAGATCCAGGCTGAGCGGTGGGCCCAGGTGAACCTCATGATGTTCACAAATCCGAGTGCAAGGTCTGCACCTGGGTTATGGCAACCTCCACTGTCACGTCATGGGATGTAAGGATGGGACACAGCCCTGCTGAGTGGGAGCTGGAGATGCTGGTGGATGGCAGCTGGGCACAAGCCAGCACTTCGCCTTCCCACCCCAAAAGGCAACTGTACCCTGGGTGCATCCAGAGCCATATGTGACCAGCTTTCAGCATGAGGAAGGGGGTCTGTCTCACTTGTCTGTGTTGTCAGACCTCACCTGGAGTGGTGCATCCAGATTAGGATGAGGGTTATGGCAGAGAGGCACAGGTTGCCTGTGGAGGTGGCGATGTCCCATCTCTGGAGACACCAGAGGTCATGGATGGGGTGGTGAGCACCTGATGAGCTGTGGGGGACCCTGTGCCCTGCAGGGAGTGGGACCAGATGGCCTTTAGCTCTTGGAGCAGGATCAGAGTAATGCTGCTAACATGATCAGAGGGCTGAGCACCTATTCTATGAGGAAAGGTTGAGGGAACTGGGCTTGTTTAGCTTGGAGAAGAGAAGGCTGCAGGGAGACCTCATTGTGGCCTTCCAGTACTTGAAGGGAGCAGATAAACAGGAGGGGGAACGGCTGTTTGTGAGGGTGGATGGTGATAGGACAAGGGGGAATGGTTTAAAGTGAGACCGGGGAGGTTTAGGTTGGATATGAGGAGGAAGTTTTTCAGCCAGAGGGTGGTGAGGCACTGGCACAGGTTGCCCAGGGAGGCTGTGGATGCCCCATCCCTGCAGGCATTCAAGGCCAGGCTGGATGTGGCTCTGGGCAGCCTGGGCTGCTGGTTGGTGACCTGCACACAGCAGGGGGTTGGAGCTGGATGAGCTTTTTGGTCCTTTTCAACCCAGGCCATTCTATGATTTCACAGTTCCGTGACCCTCACAGGTCCCTTCCAACTCAAATAGTGCTACAGTTCACGACTGCTTTGCCTCCCGCAGCGCCCTGCAGCCCCGCTGCCTGCACACCGCCTGCAGCCGCCACAACTCCAACCGCACCTCCATCACCCACCTGCGCCGCCAGGTGTACGGCCGCCTCTACCCGCTGCTGCTGGTCCGCACCGATGGCTCCACCATCCACATCCGCTACAAGGAGCCCAAAAGGATCCTCATGGTAAGGGACGCGGCCCAACAGCTAGAGATAAGGGCGCTCGGGGGGGGGTGTGTTGCTTTCGGTGCTGCAGCCTCACTCTCCCGTCACTTGCTCCCCAGCTGCCCTTGGACAGCAGCACGCTGCCTGAGGCGGAGCGCAAGGCCCGGCTGCGGCGGCAGTTCCCCAGCAAGCTGCAGGCCAAGCAGGAGGAGGCCTTGGAGGAGCTGGACTTGGAGAAATACAAGAAATTTTGGAAGAAGTGAGGCACCGATTTGGGATCAGCCCCCACCAAAACTCTCCACCAAGCGGTGGCTGATGGACACAGCTATAGAAATAAAGAGAAGAGCAATTTTGTTAAGAATTCATTTGGGGTTTTTCGGTGGTTTTGCCTCATTTCACGCCTGCTTTGGGCGGCTCAGGGCAGCATGGCCGTTCACCCTCACCCTCCCCTCCCCTCTGCGTTATGGTGGTACCGCCCGCCGCCCCTCTCGGCCCGGTGGTAGCGCCCGGGGCGGGGCTACAGCGCGCGGGCCCCGCGGCCCGGAGAGGTGCGTGGCGGGGGCTGGGCTGGGCCGGGCCGGGCTGGGGGGGTTCCGGGTTGGGCCTTTTTCCCCTCCAACGCTTCTGTGATCCCGAGTGTGCGGCACCGGCCTTGGGGTCGCGGTTTCCCCCTTCAATCTCTTACCGCTGGGCGGCCTCCCCCGGGCCGTGCTGCCCCCCCTTGGGCCGTCCCAATTCATGCAGATCCATATTGCCAGCCCAGCTAACCTCCCAACCCACTCAGACCCTCATTGCCAGGCTACGTGCCCCCCTGTAATCCATGCCAGCCCATTTCCAGCCCATGCATCCCCAGTGGGCCATGCAGTTGCCTCCCCTCCAACCCAGTACAGATCCCACGGCCAGGCTTTGCAACCTTCCCCCCCTCCTCTCCCAAACCCGTTGAAACCCCCATCTCCAGACTCCAACCCCACTATCCACGCAACCCTCCCCAAAGCTTTGCATCCTCCTCCACCTCCAGACATTGCACAATCCACCCCATACTTTGCCTTTCCCCCCTGTTCTTTACAACTCCCCCCCCAAGACCTCAGCATAACCCCTGCTTGATACCTAAAGCTTCCTATGGCTTTAGGATTGCAATGGGGGCCACCTCCCTGCCCCCCTCCTCATCGCACTGCAGGGGAGCCCTGCGTCTCCCTCATCCCCCCCCAGTGCATTGCTGGGAGGCCCTGCACCTCTCCAGTCCTCCCCCCCTTTGACTGCAGGTGCATCCTGCTGTTCTGCCATGATAACGGGGCCCATCCTTGCAGCACCCCATCACCATGTTCGGCTCATCCCGAGGAGGGGTCCGGGGGGGCCAGGACCAATTCAGCTGGGAAGATGTCAAGACAGACAAACAGCGCGAGAACTACCTGGGTAAGGCCTTCATCCCCGGCCCTGTTTGTGGGGTGAAGATAAGGGGCTGGGGACAACACGGGGCCTTGTGTCCCTGCAGGAAACTCCCTGATGGCACCGGTGGGACGCTGGCAGAAGGGCAAGGACCTGACGTGGTACGCCAAGGGCAAGCAGGAGCCCGCCCCGCTGTCCCGCGAGGAGGAGCTGGCAGCCGTGCGCCTGGCTGAGCAGGAGGCCATGATGGCAGCGCTGTGAGCACCCCCCTACAAATCCCCTGTGACACTCCCCCAAAAATAGACACTCTGAACATCCCCCCCCCTGCAAAAAAAACCATCCAAAGGACCACGCAGTTGTTGGTCACCATCACCAAGAGCTCATGGTGTTGAACCAGCTGAATGTCCTTTTATGACGAGGTTGCCCCTGTGGTTGACCAAGGCGAGCCAGTCAGTGTTATCTTTTAGGATTCCAGTCGAGCTTTTCTTGCTGTTTCTCACAGCGTGGAGAAACATGAGCAGGCAAAACCATGCGACGGTGGGTGAGCAGCAGGTTGACAGGTGCAAAGGGGTACAGCACCAGGGTTCCATTTGGCTGGCAACCACGCGTTGCTGGTGCTCCAGTTATCTGTAACGTCTTCATCGGTGACTTGGATGTTGGACAGGAGTGTGTTCTGAACAAGATTGGTGCTGCTGATAGAATGGGAGGAGCTGTTGACTCCATCGAGGGTGGAGAGGCCTTGGGGAGAGATCCAGATCTTTCGTTAGGGAGAGGCTCTGCCCCATTGGACAGTAGGCATGGAATGGAGGTCCTGGAACAGTGGGCTCTCAGACACAGGGATGGGATGTGGGTGGTGCTGTGCAGAGCTGGGGGTTGGACTTGAGGATCCTTGTGGGTCCGTTCTTACTGGGACATGCTGTGACTCCATGGTTCTGTGACTCTAGGGGCTACAAGAACGTGAAGAGGCAGCCCACAGGCCTCAGCAAGGAGGTGAGGGCGTCCCCGCTGTCCCTGTAGGTCAGGGCATCCCCCATGCTCTGTGTTTTTATGGGGTCTCAACGCTTTGCCCGCAGGACCTGGCTGAGGTGTGCAAGCGGGACAGCGCAGAGCGAGCCGAGGACGTGGATCGGGTGGTGGGCTTGGGCAGCTCCAGGTGGGCACCGAAACGCTGCCTTTCAGAGCAGCTTTTTAAAGACAAAATGTCATTCTTATGTTGGTCTTTTAATTTTGTGGCCCATGGACGTGGTTTCCGCCTGCAGCGGCAGCGCCGGGCGGGTGATGCTCTCCAAGGAGGACAAGGAGGCAGCCAAGATGGGGCTCTCTGTCTTCACGGTACGTTGGGTTGATATGAGATCATGAAAAATCCACGGGCGTTTAGGTTGGAAGTGATGTTTGTTCCCAAAGTTCTCTTTGAAAGGCAGAAAGAGCTTTTATCCTGTGTGTGTCACTCAAAGCTCTGGGCAGGCCCACGCACTCGCTCTGTGCTTTTCTCTTCCCCGTGCTCCAGCACCAGAAGGTGTGCAGCAGTCCTGAGGCGTCGGGCTCCAAGAGGAAGCAGGACAAGGAGGAGAAGGCAGAGGAGAAGCGGTGAGGACCGGGATGCGTCCCGCACTGCCGTGCCCTGGTTGGTGGGTCAGAACCAGCCAGGAATGGCCGTGCTTTTCCTGGCAATATTGTGCTGAACCGAACATTTTGCATCACAGCTTGGTTTGGGCTTGTCCTGCTTCAGTCTGAATCCCCCTACACCTCTGAGTCACCCTCAAAACTCCTTGTTTTTAATTGCTTCTCCTTTATTAAAGAGGCCTGGTGAAGGCCCAGCAGGGGTGGGTGTTTGGCACAGAAAGGGTTGGAGGGGTTTGCAGTGCAGGAACCCATCAGTGCTGCCCTGTTCTGCTCCACAGGACGGAGAGCAGCAAGAAATCCAAAAAGGAGAAGAAGAAAAAGAAAAAGAAGAAACACAAGAAGGAGAAGAAAAAAGACAAACACCACAAGCGGGACACCACCCCATCATCCTCCGCCTCCTCTCCCGACCGGGACGAGAGGTAGTGGGGTCAGAGGGGGAGGCACACGGCAGGGCTGTTCCCACGAGGTGACACCGTTCTGTCCCTGCAGACGCCACCGGAGTAAAGCCCAGGACCGCCCTGCATCCCACGGCGGCCGTCCCGAGGCATCGCGGCACCGGCACCGCCGTGACACGGACTCCTCCCACAGCAGCGGGGCCTCGGGCAGGAGCCCGTCCTCCCGCCGCCGGAGGGCGCGGAGCCGCAGCAGGAGCGGCCAGCGGCACCCGTCCCCGCGGCACAAGGGCAGGAGGAGGAGCAGGAGCCGATCTCCTCGGTCGCACAGGGCCAGACAGCGTCACGATACGGATTCGGGTGACTGAGGGGTTTTCCTGGAAGGGATGTTCCATAGGTTAGATATTTTTTAAGGTTGTTATCTAAATTAAAGTCACAGCTTTACAACTGCCGGGGCCGCTGGCCTCGGTGCAGACTGGTTATTGCCTGCGTGTTACGATGTGGACGCTGTGTAACACAGCTCTGTGGGATCTATGGCTGTCACCTCCACTTCCCCTAAGTTAAACCTGGGGCAGCATCAGAAGCTCACCCTGCTGTTTGCTTCACCTGTGGTATATGGAAAATCAGAATAACACCATTACAGAATGGGAGCAAAATACAGCAGGTGCTCAGGTGCTCACTCCATGGATCTGTTCTCTCCAGACTGACCTCTGTGGGGTCCAGCATACAGCTCTGAGCCCCAGACGTCTTTAATTTGGGGAGACCTGGGTGTGAGCCACCAGCCAAGGCAGGAAGAAGCAGAGATGCCACAGCAGGGAGCTCTCTGGTAGGGCGACAGGCGTCCCTTGAAATAAGTCCTTGGCAGACGGATGGGGCTGCAGCGCCTCCTGCACGTGTATGCAGAGTGCTGTTCCCATCTGAAACCTCACGACAGAAATACGGGTGTCTGTGTGCTCAGCGCAGGGTGCGGGTTTTCAATCCGTAACGAGCGATAGCGGTCCACGTGGAACGGGGGACGTCCCGAGCAGCTCCTGCTCGCGGGGCCAACAGCACGGAGCACAAGGGCCGCCTTTGTGTGAGCGGTGATGCCATTCCTCGACACAGGGCTGGTCTGTGTGTCTTGGCAGACAAACCCCTCGTGCCGGGGGCCGGTGTCAGTTTGCACTTGGGAGGTTTTCAGGCTCTTCTGTTACCCGAGGGGCTGTGCCACCGCACTGCCTGCAGCCCACGTGGAACAAGGGCTGCATTCATTGCAGCAGGAGGAGCTGGAATAAAGCCCTTCTGTCCGGCTCCCCTCCCGGCTGTGGGCATGTGCTTAACCCAGTTGGTGCGGGCAGCAGATGTTGCATGGCTTTTTTTTTTTCTCCCTTGAGATGGCTTTTTTTGGGTGGGGTTGATGCTCTGTTAGCAGCACTATGGCGTGAGTCCTCTTCATGTGAGCGGCTGCAGCCCCGTGTCCACATGTGATCCAGTCGAGTCCAGGCCTTCTGCCTGAGCTCGCTGCCTTCAGGGTCACCTACTGCTGCTTTCTGGGGTCTGGGCAATGGCCGGTGCTCCCTGGGAGCATCCCAGCACAGGGCAGTGGTGGGAAAGTGGAGCAGCACGGCTGTGCTGCCTGGGGAAGGTTAATGCAGCTCCAGGCTGTAAAGGGAACTAAAAGTCTGCGCCAATCCCAGGGCCCAGCTTGGGACACTGCTCCCCGATGCTCTCATTCAGCTTCATTTCCAAGCAGGGCAGGATCCTCCCCAGGATCTGAGCGCTTTGAAGGTGAGGGTCAGAGAAGCCCCCTGAGGTGGCTCATCCCAGGCTGCGTCCCCTCCTGCAGTCCCTGCTTCTGCTCCCACTACTGCCATCAGCCCACCTCCAAACGCTGTCTGAAGAAGGCACCTATGCCTACTTCACACCAAACTTCACATCCTAAGGAGCAAAAGGCTTTGAGAAAAGGCAAAAAGGGGTGTGAAGGATCCTCGTCCCCACCTCAGGGCTGCGGCAGCCATCCAGCCGCCTCTGCTTTCCTGCCCAAGCTGCTACACAGGTTCCTGCAGACAGGGAAGGACGGATGGCTAAAATCCCTGCAGGCTTGGCCGAGCCCAGACCAGAACAAAGCTGGTGCTGCCTGGAGCGGAGGGCTACTCCCACAGCTCACTGATCCCAGATAACATCACCACGTTCCCCATCTCTTCCTCCTTCCAGCATGGGCTGTATGGCTGGGGCAGGCTGGACATCACGAACCCTCACACCAACACACCTCGCACAGCAGTCAACCAGCAGGATCTCTGCTGCCGGTGGTTACAGCGCTGGAGTGCAGCAGAGCACCGGCCTCCATGGAGGCGTGGGAGGGGAGAGGAGTCGGGGGCTCTGCGCAGTGACATCAGCAGGAGAGCTGGCCCTGCAGGTTCAGCTCCCTCCCAGAACGAGAATAAATAGAAGCCATGCTCAGCTAGGCACGCACACAGCCTGAATCACAGCTTGAAAGCCAAAGCGAAACAAACAGCTTGGAAAGAATAACCTGACTTACAAGGATTTTGCAATCCCTTGTCACTGTTTGCTCAACACTGATTACTACCAAGACAGGCTGGTCAGAGCACAGGAGCCCTTGCTGGGAACTGAATAAAGCCAATTGCTGCCTGCAGCAGCCTCAGCTGAAGACAGCAGTCAGAAGCATCTCCCTGAGCCTCTCTCCGTAGCAGGGCAGCCAGCCCCACAAGGAAGCAAGGGGAAGTGGAATCTGTGCAACAGATGAGGAGCTCGAGGGAAGACCCTCTCAATTCTCTGAGAAAAGCAGTGCCAGCTCAGCAGCCCATGAGCTCAGCACCCACAGCTCCAGGAGGGCTGAATTCAGGATTTCAGCCCCAGGAGCGCATCGCTCACAGAGCTATGGTGAAAGACGTGGCTATGCAGGAAGCTGATGGACGCCTTAAGGGAGGACGGGGGCTGAAGAGATGAACAGAAGGACACAGTGCAAGTTTCATGAAACTTTTTATTCAACAAGTATTTCATTATGATTTTGCCAAGATGATCAAATGAACAGCAAGGCATAAAAAACATGAAATAGTTAAGAGATTTCATTCTAATAGCTTTAATTACAGTGCTTGTTTGTCGAAATGAAAACTGAAAACAAGTATACAAAACAGTTGATTACTAATCGTGTATTGAAAGCAATAAAGGTTTCCACAACACTAAACAAACCAGTTCTGATAGTTCCTCAAGTTAAAGTTGAACAGCTCCAGCTTCTTCAGTGTTTATCAAAATACAAAAGAAAAGTAAAGAGGTCTTTTTTCTGATGGCAAATCTGAACCTTGCAGTATGAGGGATGCCAAGGGTTTTCACACATATACAGATATGGGATTGTTCCAAAATGGGATTGAATACTTCTAGAGTGGAATGACTCTCCTAACTCTCATGCTTTTTTTTATTTCCCTAGACACTATACACAGATGTTTGGTGTTTTTCATGGCAATTCTTACTTAAGTACAGTACTTTCTGACTATAGAGCTTAGGACCGGTACAGGCTGTGCTTTCTGTGGAAAAGTTTGCCTTCTGGAGTGGTTTACACACAAAAGTACAAAACACTTTTGACAAATACAACAGGCTAAAAATGTGACTTCCAGAAATGATTCAAGCTCAGTGGATGTGACCAGTCTCACCTGAACCAAAAGGCAGAGGTTTAGCTCGAGTCTGCCAACTCATCTAAACCAGGTCCGACAAATCTTGGAGCAAGTATGAACAAATGTGAGCTACAGAAAGAGCCAGAGATCTGTAAGTTACGACCTGTGTTCTAACCCAACAGAGCCAACCTGGTGTCAACTGCTGCTTCAGTTTCCCAAGAATCAGGAACCACCACGTCAGAGCCAGAACAGCAGAAGCTATGGCAAACCTTTGTGTCTTGAAGTGTTTTTACTTTTCCTCGACTATTAAAAAAAAAAAATAAACAAAATACAGTATTCAGGTTAAAAACCAACCACCAAAATGGACCTCACAGATCTCACAACCCATCCGAGATAGTATTCAGCTCTACTGCACTAGGACTGCTGGCAACCCCTACGTTAAGCCACTCCATCCCTTCCGAGTACTAAACAGTGAGTTGATTCTTTACAATAAAAAAGCTGAGTAATATTGCATAGGAGTACCAGAAACTGCCTCATTGGAAACAAAAACTATTTACATTAAATAAGAAACCTGTTTTCTGGCTTGTATTTGCCACATTTACAGCATGATGCAATATATACTGTGACAAAAGAAATGAAAACAGCTTCCGGCACTCAATACCACAAAGTAGCACAGTTTGCCACATTAGAGTAAAGCGAAGGGCGAATAGGAGGAAATAAGAGGGAGGGGTGGAAAAAGAGGGAAGAGGAAGGTTTATGGTTTCATTTCTGGTTTCGGAGCTGATTGGACAACCAGTCCAGTCCTTCATAGAGCCCGTCTCCACTAGTGGCGCAGGTGGCCTGGATGTACCAGTTCCTGTGACGAAGAGAATGCAGTCCCAGTTTGTCTGTGATTTCCGCTGCATTCATGGCGTTGGGCAGATCCTGCGGAGAGCAAGAGACGCGTTTCTCTCCTGCCAGCTGAGCAGCAACACCCGCCCCTCCTGAACTACCAGTGCACTGGCTGTCAGCTTTAAACCCACTTCACAAAGTGAGGAATGCTCACAGTTACAGCTCACCTCCTGCTTCATTCACTTTCCACTCGGGAAATATTTCCTGCAACTGCAGCCTTGATTTAACCTCAGCTTCCACCACGCAGTACTGAGCACTGCTCCAAGCTGTACTCAGCTCAGCACTGCATCTGTTAATACTCCACTTTCCTATTCCTAGAAAGGACTCAACAGCTTTTCCACCCTTCCCAAGTGAGCACAGCTGATGGAGCAGCAAGCTGTGCCTCCTTTAAGTTCACCTACAGAAGGTGCTTTCAGATAAGAGCACACACACAGACACCTTCCTTTGGCTTACCTGTTTGTTAGCAAACACTAATAGAACAGCATCTCTAAGCTCATCTTCTGCCAGCATTCTCATCAGCTCTTCTCTGGCCTCGTTCACTCGTTCTCTGTCATTACTGTCAACTACAAAAATCAAACCTAGGAGAAAGCAGACAATAAGCATAAGCACGCAGCACGTGCTGCTTACACGCGGTACCTGGTTCTGGACATCAGAATTCAGCTGCAAAAAGAAACTACATGGAAAGATGAAGTTCATACTGTTGTAATCTCATGTCTGAGAGAAAGCCTGCTCCTGCCAAGAGCTGGTGAGAACAAGCAGTTTGATGTGCACGATTTGGAGCTCACTCTCCAGCTACAGGACCACTCAATATCTTCCAATGAGAAGCACCCCTTAAAATCCTGACAGGACAACACACGCACATTAAAGGCAAGCAGTGGGAGGAACGACAGGCTCTCAGTTCTCAAGGCTGCTACAGCCTGTAGGAAACAAGCAGTAAGGACTGCTTTGAAGTGCTGGGTGCGAGCTGTGATGCTCACAGAG